AGGTTTCCCTTCAATTTGTGACTTGAAGTGCCGCTCTGCACCAAATACTGGGGACAGGAAGTTATAATAACCCTCCCCGACTAAAAGCTGTACTAATGGACCATGTGCAACACTGTCTGTGTCCCCCCCTGAAACACGCTGTGCACAAAGTGGTTCCTTGCAACATTGACAAGTAGTAAACTGAGTAAGACAACGCAGACATGTTCTGTGTGTTTACAGGATCTGCAGCTCATAAACCGCAGATTTCAAGAGGTTTACTGAAAAGGAAACGCCACTAAACACAGTTCCTGTTTCTTCCGGAGAGGAGGGGGGTTTGTTTGTCCCTCAGCGTAAAGAAGGAGCTTCATTCAGCTGAGAGACTGCAGACGGAGGTCATGGAGGAGGAGGGGAGTGTGGGTTGTTCTTTGAAATAGGTCAGCACTCACACTTGCCACACTCGTCTTCTGTTCCTCCTCTCTTCTGTTCCTCATCAGATCCTCAGACTCTAGTCTCAGCTCCAGGAGAGACATTGCAGTCAGACAGACGCTGTGTGAAGGAATCAGCCTGCAGACAGAAGAGGAAACAACACATGCTGCAGGACAGGCTTTACAAGAGAAAGAAAATACCTCATTGTTTACTTTCCACATGCAAAAGGGAGTAGTGGTCTGCATGTGAACAATGTGCTGTAAAAGGGTTCATAAAACACATCATATCCAAATCATATTTACACACCATAGAAGCTATAATAAAGGAGCAAGGAGACACCAAAGGGAGAGCTATCGACAAACTCATTTACAGTCAAACTATCAGCAGAAAAACCCAGAACATTTCAGAGTCAAGTTGTTTTTAACAATCCTGGACTCATTTACTTTAGCTGGAATGGACCCTCAGTCTTTGTTGGAGCAACATGTATTTTATCTGTTCTTAATCAACACATTCATTCTGTGTCTGCATTACTCCTCTGTGGAGTAAATAGAACTCGAAAATGCATTTCCTGCAGAAAATGCGTGCGAATGCTGTAAACTGTGAACATTTGTGGCTGAATTTAGCTGAAAATGCAGAAAAAGCTTAATATTTAAAAGAAACGGTTTTAAAAAAAGGTATAAACAACAACATGTATAGCCTTGATGTCCTGAAATAGCTGAATAATGTAATAGTTGAATGGTTTCTGCAGCTGAAAATAGGCTGAAGGAGTTAAATATCAGATGTAAGTAGTAGTGAATGAATTTGTATTAAGATGAGAAAAGAAAGTAAAAAGGCTTGGGAAAGCAGCAGAATATTTGAACTGCAAACTTTTGAACTAACTTGATCGCCCTCTCTCTCTCCTCTTGATCGCCCTCTCTCTCTTCTCTTGATCACCCTCTCTCTCTTCTCTTGATCGCCCTCTCTCTCTTCTCTTGATCGCCCTCTCTCTCTTCTCTTGATCGCCCTCTCTCTCTCCTCTTGATCGCCCTCTCTCTCTTCTCTTGATCGCCCTCTCTCTCTCCTCTTGATCGCCCTCTCTCTCTTCTCTTGATCGCCCTCTCTCTCCTCTTGATCGCCCTCTCACTCTTCTATCACCCTCTCTCTCTTCTCTTGATCGCCCTCTCTCTCTTCTCTTGATCGCCCTCTCTCTCTCCTCTTGATCGCCCTCTCTCTTCTCTTGATCGCCCTTAATTGTTACAGCTCAAATGCATTGCAATGACTTCCATGTTAAAAAAAGACTTTAAAAAGCTGAATGTTTTAAAAAGTATAACATATTTTGAAAAAGTTGAAAGTTTCCCATCATGTGCTGAAAAGGCTGAATAGTTTGATATTTGAATGGTTTCTGTAGCTGAAATTAGGCTGAAGGAGTTAAATAAAGATATGAAATGTAAGTAGTAGTGAATGAATGTTTACAAACACCTGTGTGTGTAAACCCAGAGATGAAAGGTTACCATGGTGACGATTTATGACGATTTACCATCTGCAGCACTGAGTCCCATTAAGAATGCATTGAGGATTATATCTGACAATTTTGCCACCTGTTCAAAAACTATGGCTCCTATCAAAAAATTACCAGACCGTGAGCATCAGGGAACCCCAATGAACTGATATATGTTGTTTTTTTTGGTTTTGTGTGTAAAATGTGGAGATGGGAGCAGTTTGTCTAAAGTGTACTTCTCTCTGTTCTGAAGAAAGTTCCGGAAAGATTTAACATGGGAATCAATTGGGAGCTTGGTGGACTTTTTGTCTCTTCATGCCCTCAAGAGGCATTTCGTTTAATATTTCTTCTTAATTTTTTTTTATTTTCCAACCTAGGAGAGGTTTTCCTATGTTTTTCATGAAAAAATATGTCTGAGGAGTGTAGGGTTTGGGAATTATGGCAAGTTTAAAACATTTTTTGGGGAGAATTTGAAGCACTGCTGCACTCTGTTTTGAGATCAAAGCACTCTAGACTTAACGAGCTGCTCCATCCACACTAATGTTAAAATCTGAAAAAGGCCTCTCTACCAAGCTCCAAACTAAGTTAAATATCTCAAAAAGTGTAAAAGATATCAAA